TAAAATTAGATCAGATATAACTGTTTTTAAATTTTAGCGTTCATATTTGGCCGCTAAACCTGACGGTTTAAGGGATAGTAAAATAAAAGTGCACTTGGATACTAAGCAAAATCTTGATACGTATAGCAAGTCCTTTGCACCGTTTTGCGGGCAAATTTACCTGGAATTTTCACGATTGATTTGTGATTAAGCTATCAAATTATATTGAATTGTAACCTAAATCGTAGTAAATATATGGTTAAATTGACGGTGTAAGGGATAATAATTTTACAATAGAGCGGGTACCTAGTACATTCGTATGTGCGTAATAGTAATCTATTTTTTATTGGTTAAATGTCATGTGGTTACACGAAATCTGTATTTTCGTAGATCACAAATATTGCCCAATCAAAACAAACTTCCATTATGCTACCAGGACATGATTCAATTAAATAGAATTTGTGCATTATTTGTTTTTGTTACACTAAATTACAAATTTGAACGTAAAAATTTTTCCAAATTACGTTTTTGATACGATCTTCATAATGATTATATAAATGCATCAAAAAAGCAACTATTTTGGCCAAAATGCATCAAAAACGCCATCTTGCGTAGAAAACCCTTTATATAGAAGCAAACTAGTAAACACACGCGAAATAATTTACATAATATATTAAGAGAATAGATAGATACGCATAAATGTGGCTAACCAACCCGAACTCATTAACGACCAACAAACCTATACAAGAACCGACCAAATTATTGTTACAATAAATAACACTTCTACAATCCGCCTATGGTGTTTTACCTCTTATGTTGTATTATCTCAAAAAAGTGGCTAATTAATCGGTATGAGGTTGTTCTGATCTACGCCCCAAAACCTTTCTAAAACTTTACTTCTCTAGTCTTAATGTAAAAAAATTCGAGTTAAAAATTTTATATAAAAATTAAGAAATCTATAATAGGTTGTAAAAACACTATAGGTTCGTTTTTGTAAAAATGTTAAACAAAGAATAAATTAATAATAATCTCCCGACCACTATATCATGATCACGGGAGGATTAATTAATACCCTGACAATAAGCGGAAACGAAGTTCCCGTTAATTCCCAACGGATCAGGATTAGAGATGGGCACGGTGCTTAATTGTTACATGATTAAAATCATCGGACGTTAATTTTTACATAAACTATAATATGTGACGATTAAGCATAGTAATATAGTACCCATCTCTAATCAGGATATTATTATTACATTGTAAAAATGATTTGTCCTATTTCTATTAACTCCCTATCATATAATCTAATAACTTTTTTGAATAGATTTAAATATTATCATCTAATCAAAACAAATCAACAATTTACGTATTTAAACCGACTTTTATAGATAATTACTATTAAAAAAAGGTCTACACGAACCCTGAAAAACAAAAAATACGTATAACATAATTTATGAATTGCAATTGTCCAAGTATGACAAATTTCTAGTTTTTCTTCCAAGCCTATACCGTACAACAGAAATGAATTTTCAGCATGAGTTCTTATTTTTTTTTTTTAATATAATTACTTAAAATATAAATATCTTGACATTTAATATAAAGATTTTTTGTTTTTGACGCGGGAGGTGGATTTTATTAGTCAATCCCATTACAGTAAATTCGATCGTTAGAATTAAGATAACTATAACGCATACCTTGATTAACTAATAAGTATTTAATCTTTTTTTTTATATTAAATTAAACCACATATTTTAAGCCAAGAATTTTGTACCTAGATTAGGATCAGTCGAACTGGGAGCCGTGAGTTTTGTAAGATTCGAAAGTTTTCATTTCACTTCTCTCGGCTTCAGCCAACTAACGTTAAAATTCAATTTTTTTTATTATCATGGATCTTAAAAAAATAAATTTTGAACACGAAAAAAGTTCGATGTAAAAAAAAAAAAACATTGTCAATTTACTTTTAACTATGATTATTAATAATCTTAAATAAATGTTGCGTTAAAATACATATTATAAATCAGTTGAACAAAACAATCTTTCTAGAATATGTACATTTTTTTTTTTTTGGATTTCAACTTAAAAACCTAACCAATTCTTCTTCTTTCCTATTTTCTTTTTGATCAGTTTTCGTTCTTCACTATTCTTTTCGGTCTGTTTTTTTACTGCTATTAAATTCTCATTACTGCATACTTTTAGTACATTATTCAATACCCATTCTAATCCCTCCATATAGGAAACTTGACTACCTTTTCCATTTTTTGACTTCGGTAAACACATACTCAACAAATTACCTAAATTATTTAAATTCTCGTATTCCTTATCTATATCCACCTTATGTTCTTTCAGTAAATCGAGAACTCTAGTTGGCCATCTGTTCCAGATTGCCAAGTATAACATATTTGGAAATGTAGTACCCTCTGCTGCCCCAGGATTACTCGTACTTTCGTTGTTACCCGTCGTATGGGGTATTTCAAATTTCGCACTAGATCCTTTGCTAAGACTTTTAACCTTAACGGTAAGGCTAACGTTTGGATCTGCACCATTATTCAATAGGATTTCAACAACTTTTGTGAATCCCGCCTGAAACGTTGTCTTGGCCAAATAAAGACTCAAGACAGTGTATCCTTTCTCATCTTTTGCATTTATATCACATTTATTATGAACTAGGAATTCTATCACTTTCTTAATATGATGATGAAACCTATTCATTTTCGTTTGACCTTCTGAAACTACATCTGCATCTGCTGTTTTCTTTTTTTCTTTTGAAACATCTATATCACTTGTTAAATTTGCATTTGTAGGTAAATAATGTAACACTGTTCTTTTGCTCTTTACCGAAACCCATGAGAGATTTGGCTGTTTATTAGGATCATTCAACGGACCACTAGGATATCTTAACAAGTTAAAAATTTCTTCAACCATTTTAATATCGGTACAATACCTTGCGACTATAATACATAAATAATCGTTTGTATCTTTAAATTCATATGTGCTAGTAATGCTTTCGCCACAGGATAGATGATATTTTAAACCTTCAATGTCACCTAATCCAGCGTGATAACCAGCATGGCATTTGGTAGGTTTTTCAACTTTGTAGATGAAAGCATATTTGTCTAGTATTTGTGCGCATCCAGTGAAGGAATGACCCTATTTTTAATAGAGTAAAAGGTTTAAAAGTTTTAACATAGAATTTAAAAACACATTGATAATATACGTCGTGCCTGAAATTGACACCCGCCTAAAATTGCACATGATTGAAATTAGTCCTTGAAATTAGATCATCTTGCACGTATTAGCTAGAAATTTTAACAGATATAACTTCAGGCACGACACCCATATATATATATGCTTAAAATGTATTATAAAATAAATACTTACGATTAAACTATTATTTGGAGAACCAGATGGTTGTATGCCTTGATCTATAAACATCACAAATAAATGCTTGTGTTTTACTAAATTAGGAACTTAATAATAATTATTAAAATTAATTAAAATGGTACGTACACTGTACATTATCTACATGATAATTTATCGGCACTTGTTGGTTAGCATTACTCCCTAAAACTTGATTAACGTTGCTTCCTGGAACTTGGTTAGTATGACTCCCTAAAACTTGATTAACGTTGCTTCCTGGAACTTGGTTAATATGACTCCCTACAACTTGTTGGTTAACCTTATTTACCGGAACTTGGGTAAAATTGCCTGGAGCTTGTTGGTTATAATTACTTCCTGGAAACTGATTACTTCCCATGACTTGTTGATTAAAAGTACCTTGATGATTAAGATTACTCATAGTATTGTTGGTAGAATATCCGGAGTTAGGGACCGATTGCAGGAAAGGCGGATTATTTGTTGTGGATACATTTATCATAGGCTGAGCATTCATGTTAGACGGTGCCATAGGCTGAGCATTCATGTTAGACGGTGCCATAGGCTGAGCGTTCATGTTAGACGGTGTCATTGGCTGAGCATTCATGTTAGACGGTGTCATAGGCTGAGCATTAATGTTAGATGGTGGATGTACGATTGGCTTGAATTGTTGTTGATTACCATTAAAATTGTTTTGCATTAAATGTTGATTAATGTTAGGATATGTTTGTGATTGACCAGCATTCACAGTGGGGTACAGATGTTGCTGTTGAAAATGATTGTTCATTCCAGAAGGATAGTTTGCATTGGAAGCATGACTAGGAAATTGTTGCTGTTGAACTGCTGCCACCATTCCTTGGTTCATGTTAGTGTTATGAGCTTCAGTCATAGCGTATTGAGATATTGGAGGACGCTGAGGCATAACATTGTTATTAGCATATGGTTGTTGATAAATTTGCTGTGGATTATAATTTTGCATATTTTGCATAAGATTTGGATCAGTATTAGAACGATTATAACTCAAACTTGGATTAAATCCTCCTGGTTGATAAGTTGGTGGCACATTATTTTGAGAAAATCGTTTATTAGCATTATTGTTTTGCTGATTAGAGGGAATCTTTGGTAATGGTGGCGGGTTTGGCGTAGTAACGTTCAATGTGTTCATGTTATTCATAAGAGATCCGACCGAATTATCACCCTTTGTACATTCACCTAACATCTCCTCCAATTTCTTTCTAACCTCATTAATCTCTGGTCTATCCTCCGGTTTGTTACTCCATGCTCTCTCATATAAGATCCGATAATCATCCGGTGTTCCATCTACCGGTTTTTCTCTCTCACCATTTTTAACTTTATTTGATATATCAAAAATATTTTGATTATCAAATGGAGGTCGACCACTTGATATTTCCCAAAGTAATACACCAAGACTATATATGTCCGATGCTTTGTCACGTTGGTATTTAGAGTCAATGAAACATAGTGGTTCTAAATATGCAAACATGCCGGTCAAGGCTGACGTTGAGCCAGAACCGCTTACTTTAGAAAGGCCAAAATCGGTTATAATTAGTTGATCATGATTAACTAATATATTTTTTGAATGCTAACAATAAAAATCAAATATTAATAAGAAATAAAAATAATAAATATTTTCTCAAATAATAAATTATTAAAAATAATAATCACCAAATCTCTATGTATAATATCTTTATCATGAATACATTTAAGCCCACTGGAAATTTGTTTTCCCATGGAAATCTTTTTTTTCCAATCAAGATTTTTAAAATTTTTCTGAAGATAGTCTCTTAGACTTCCACCATCTGCATATTGTAATACCATAAAATATCTTGATGTAGTTGGATCTTAATTATCATACATTATCATACATGAAAGGAAGGAAATTAATTATTTGCAAGAGAAATATTAGTAATAGAAATTTATAAATGGAAATATTAATGAACTTACCTTGACTAATTCCAAAAACTCGAATAACATTATCATGAAAATGTACTAATCGAATCAACTTAATCTAATTCATTTACAAAGGAATAACAATAAAGTAAAAAAAATGATCAAAAAATCAGTATTTATACAATGAAAGCGACTTTATAACGTATTTCAACTAACCTCTTTAACAAAATCATCAAAATCCTTATCATCTTCTGTTTCAGTTTCAGAATCATGATTGTCGAATAAAGATTTTAAAGCAACAGCTTTCTCAGCGGTTGGCCAGTATGCTTTTGTAACTTCACCATATGCGCCTCGAGCTATCTCTTCATGTTTAGTAAATGAATCATAAGGAATAAATTCTATATGATGTTCATCTACTGCTTGTTGGATCCATTGTGATGATTTTTTGCTAGGCATTTTTATAAAAAATAAAGCAGAATAAAGAATTTTATCATAACAGGAGAATGTGGTTTAATCATTTACAGAAAAAGGTGTGTTCTGAAATTAACGTAACAGTACAAATAATTGTTTGTGTCATCTGATCATTTGCATGGTTATTGTGAAACGTTCTCTTGTCACCCAGTATGGGTAACCATTAATCGCTATTAGTGCAGTAAAATAAATGAGATACATGCATACAGTATTGATTATAATGATGATCCCCTAATTAAGATTTTTATATAAATCAACGATTGTGTAGAAATAGTAAAAACATAAAAAATTCAAAACTGCAATAACTTTTGAACAAACAAACCTACATAATGAAATTTATTTGTCAAGTTCATTTTAGCATGTTCTTTAAATTAACAATGCCATTTTTTTTTAGTTATTTTTATTGTTTGGAGCATAGCGGAGGACTCAATTTCCGTGCAAAATGATCATTTTTGATGCATTTTTAACAAAAATATCCAAAACGTTACTTGGAGTTTTTTGTTGATTACCATTGCATAATGACAGACAAAAATTCAAAGTTACGTTTTTGATATTTTTATTAATAACATATCAAGAACAATCATTTTAAGTCCTTCACTATGATCCAAATAATAAAAAAAAGTTGTTACTTAAAATGCACGGTAGAATAAACCTGACAGCTATAACTTTGTGTGGGTTTGCCGGTTCAAGAGTTATTGCAGTTTGAATTGATGTTTTTACTGTCGTTGACCCATAAAAAATTTTAAGCCCAGGCCAATTTGATTTGGTGCTTTACATTACCCCTTTCTCTCTTAGTAAAAAAATTTTTTGGATATATATATATATATGATTTTAGCCGGAGAGCTAATGCCGGGAGGAATTAAGATTAGAAATTGTAAGGATCCGAAAAAATCCGAAGAGAAATGAACGAACATAAAAGAGTAATTATTTTTGAATCCGGACCAATTATATATATATCGATATGACATAAATAATAACATCTTGGTCTGGATTCAAAAATAAATACCCAAAAGACGAGCAAGGTCAGGCCGATAATTTCCGATTGAAAAAAAATTTAAATAAAATTTATTATGTATACGTTCCCCCCTCTTTTGAAAAAGGGATGTAATGTAAACCACCAAATCAAGTTGGTCTCGCCTAATTTGGGGATCATTATATCATCTGTACTATGTTTGTTATAGAACACCCCCAAGTATCGGTGGATCATAAAGCTGAGCCTACGTGCTATATCATATATATATAAATATATCGATATATATCAATATTAATTAAAAAAAAAAAAAAAAAGGGAAGTATTTTCCTTCCTTTTGTAACCAACCGTGCCACAAAACGCAAGATTTGTTAAATCACCTATTGTAAAATGCCAAGATTTCATTGGTTACTTAAAAAAGCTTACTGTATATTTTAATTCCAGTTTCAGCCGGACGAATTTGGGCAATGGACCGGCGCAAACTGGAACAAGGATCACATGTGTAGTAGAATGGACGAGGATCACATGTTGTAGTAGCGTGGTCTGTAGTTTTTAAGGAATGAACCGTTTAAGATGCTGGTGAAAACTAGAATGATGAAATAATTTCACCACTATTGGTTAAATTGGTGAAATTAAACTAGAATGATGAAATTATTTCACCACTATTGGTTAAATTGGTGAAATTAAACTAGAATGATGAAATTATTTCACCACTATTGGTTAAATTGGTGAAATTAAACTAGAATGATGAAATAATTTCACCACTATTGGTTAAATTGGTGAAATTAAACTAGAATGATGAAATAATTTCACCACTATTGGTTAAATTGGTGAAATTGTGAGATTAATTCAGCCAGCACTAAAATAATTCTGGCCCACTACCAACCTAATTCTGCACGAAACTATTGTACAATTTTCAACCGATTAAACGGTTAAAAATTTTTAGACTATTCCATTCCCTAAGTATATAGTTTAATATGCATAATTTGGGCTAGGTGTTGAAAAAAGGGCCTAAATTGATCCTTTTTTCAAACCTCTTTTTTAAGTTTAACCAATCCAATAGTTTAGGTGCATTTTTTTACTTAAGGAACAAATACTATTATCTTAAATTTTGGCAGTATAAAATCAATTTTCTCTAAACCTTTTTTTTGTTAATTTGGGCCCTTTTCTAGCACCCATTTAATCTATCTTAACAATCACTACAGTATGATTGAAGGGATTACATAAGTATTACATCAGATAGACAATATTAAACAAAAAAATTAGGAAATTTACATATAAGGACCCGAAAAATGAAAATAATTACAAATCCGTATAGTTCCGAAAATAAGCACCATCTCTACCCATTTTTTAAATCTCAGACTATCGTGCTTATTTTCGGAACTATACGGGTAAGGGCAAAAGCGAAAATAAATATAAGGGCTCAAATTTTGAAACCTATTACAATCAAGGGTCCAGGTTTATCGTAACTAGTTAGATTAAACCGTTTTAACATTTAAAATCAATTTTACTAAATCGCACCAGTGGTGTTCAACACCACATATTTTTAGAGTTAGAGAACCTGAACTATAGTAAATATATAGATATAAATCTTAGTTAGGGTGAGGTTTTGGGGCGCTAAACATTTTTGCTTAGTACCCTGACGTGCGTTAGCTAGTACGTTTTTGAGATATAGCAACTGTGGTGTTTGAGCACCACTGGTGCGATTTAGTATTTTCTTTTGATAGTTAAACGTACAAATTATTTTTCAATCAATATTGATTTATTTTCTTAGCGTCTAGCATATAAAAACTATGAACAAATGAGTTTTTGCGGTTCTAAATATCTTCAATCAACGGGTTTGGGTCAAAATCCCGACAAGCGAAATCCCGACAGGTCATAATCCCGACAAAAAAATCACGACAGCAAAAATCCCGACATCCAGACAATTAAAAATTTTGATAAAAAAAAATATCATAAACCATAGCTAACCCATTATTCGAAAGCCTCCGTCTTTCCAATTTTACATTTCAAAATATTTAAAGCTAGCATGTAAATATATAATCATTTTAATTGTTTCAAAAACAAAATATTAAAGTCAACAGAAAATTTAAAGTTCACTTTTAATATTCGTGCTAAAATGCACAAAAACAGTACCTTTGTAGCATCGAAAATGTAAAGTTGCATCATTTTGCATAAAATTAACAATTAATAACAAATTAAGGATTAGTAAAAGCGTCAAGTAGATTCAAACTTAAGTGAAAAAAGTGCAAAACTTAAGTTTGTAATAATTTTTACGTTTATTCAAGAAAATAGGCGCCGTCAATCAAACGTAGCATAGTGAGATCCGAAAATTGTTACATAAAATCTAATTGTAACGTGGGTGTCATTAATCAAACGCACCATAAAATATATCGATATGTCGGGAATTAACGGAAACGGAAAGGCACCTCGTTCTTTCAAGAAGCCAAGTAAAGGAGGAGGGGCTGAGCCAACCCCTCATGGATCCAAAGGAAACCCCCACTTAGGGATGTTACGGTCCGTCCCGGTCCGGTCTTAGTCCCAAAGACCGGTCCTAGCAGAGGACCGGGGACTGGACCGC